TCGGTGCCAGAACCGCCACACGACAAAGACATCGACATGTGCATCGACATGCTGCGTTCGATGATGGATAGGGGCTGGCGCCCAAGGTGCGCCGTCGGCGAGCCAGTCGTGTGGAGATCCCGGGAGAACAATCAAGCTGCAGATGCCGTGGCTAGTCATTGCATGGACCATGGCAGCAATTTGCTCATTTGGGACCAGAGTATCGTCAGCCATTTGCGTGGTGATCAGTGTTGTCTCCAAATACATACGGATGGAGAGGAGCCGGGCTTCCCATATAGGCTCCACGGGCATGACGGTTACGCTCTGGAAGCACCATCCACAGCAAGGTTGGATACGGCAACTGTTCTTGGTGAAGGGCCAATTTGTCGACCACGAATGCACGCCCTTTTTCACAGAGCTTCTAGCGATGAAGGAGGCCATGCGACTAGTAACTACTTGGATGCAACTTTCCTAACTTGAACTTCTTTTTGACCAATCTTCCCAAGGTTCAGGGTCGCCCGCCACGGAAAAAAAACGAATGAGAAGACAAATAAGCAGGAGAGGAGGAGGAGGAGGAGGAGGAAGAGGTGACGAGGAGGACGAGGAGGAGGAGCAGAAGCAGGATCAGGAGCAGGAGCAGGAGAAGAAGCAGGAGCAGGAGGATGAGGAGGAAGGAGAAGGAGTGTGATTGACAGGATGCGATGGAGTACGAGAAGGAGGAGGAGGAGGACGAGGAGAAGGAGGTGGTGGTGGTGGTGGTGAAAGTGGTGAAGGAGGCGGATTATGATGACGATGATGGTGATGCTGATGATGATCAGGATGTTGATGATGATGATATTGACGATGATGATGCTGGTGCTGATGCTGATGCTGATGCTGATGCTGTTGCTGATGCTGCTTCTGATGATGATGCTGATGCTGCTGATGTTGATGAGGATGATGATGGTCGTTGTGGTGGTGGTGATGATGATGGTGATGATGGTGGTGATGGTTATGATGAGGAGGATAATGATGTTTGCTATGCGGATGATGATGATGATGATGATGATGATGATGATGATGATGATGATGATGATGATGATGATGATGATGAGCATGACGATGATGATGCTGCTGATGTTGTTGCTGAAGATGGTGGTGGTTGTGGTGGTGGTGATGATGGAGATGTTTCTGATGCTGCTGATGCTACTGCTCATGATGATGATGGTAATGTTGATTATGATGCTGATGACGATGACGATGGCGATGACGATGATGATGCTGATGATGCTTATGATGCTGATGATGATGACGATGATGATGAGGAACATTCTGATGATGTTGCTGATGATGATGATGATGACGACGCTGATCATGATGGTGCTGCTGATGATGATAATGGTGGTGGTGGTGATGATGAGGATGATGATGATGACGGTGATTCTGATGATTGTCATGATGGTGAGGAGGGTGAGGAGGTTATGATGAAGGTGATGATGGTGATGATGGTGATGGTTATGATGAGGAGGGTGGGGAGGAGGAAGTGGATGAGGATGAAAACGGTGATAGTGTTGCTGATGCTTATGGTGATGATGTTGATGCTCATGCTGATGCTGCTGCTGATGCTGCTGATGATGATGCTAATGATGATTATGATACTGATGATGATGATGATGATGATGATGATGATGGTGGTGATGGTGGTGATGATGATGATGATGATGCTGATGATGATGATGAGGATGTTGATGATGATGATGATGGTCATACTGACGATAATGATGATGCTGATGTTGATGCTGATGCTGATGATGATGCCGATGATGATGACGATGATGGCGATGACGATGATGATGACGATGATGATGATGATGCTGATTGCTTTGCTGATATTGATGATGATGACGATGACGATGACGATGACGATGATGATGATGATGATGATGATGATGATGATGATGATGATGATGATGGTGATGGTGATGATCGTGATGCCGTTGATGGTGCTGCTGATGATGATGATTATGATTTTGATTATGCTGCTGCTGCTGATGATGCTGCTGGTGATGATGATGGTGATGATGATGATGATGATGATGCTGATGATGCTGCTGATGATGATGGTGGTGGTGGTGGAGGAGGAGGAGGAGAAGGAGGGGATCGAAAGTCAGAGGCGGAAAAAGAAGAGGAGCGGGAGGAAGGAGGACGAGGAGGAGGAGGAGGAGGAGGAGGAGAAGGAAAAGAAACCTCAGAGAGCATGGCGAATTCCCTCATTGTTGATGTTTCAGCTTCTGCCTCTGCGAGAACAATGGTGGGCAGGCGAGGGCCTTCCTCCTTTCTCCTCGCCCTCCTCCCTTCTCTTCCGGTTCTCTTCTGTCCTCTCTCGTCCCGCGTCCTCCTCCATCCTTCTCTTCTGGAGATCCCGAGGTCGCAGAAGGCATGCAGAAGCTTCAGGAGGACCAGACTTCTATGCTCGATCCCCGAACCTCCTCCCTTCCTCTCGTCAGGCTACAGCCTCCACGCCAGGCTCCAGTGGGCATGGGCAGGCTCCCACGCGGAGCGCGCGCGACTCTGGCACTCGATCTCTCGTTCTTCCGCCTCCCGCCTCCTCCCCTCCCTTCTTCCCCTCCCTCCCCCTCACCCCCTCCCCTGCGACGAGGGATACGGGAGGAATGGAGGGGAGAAGGGAGGGGGGAGAAGGAGGACCTCCCTCCTGCCCAGCAGGGATAGGAGTCTTCCCTCCTGGCCAAGAGAGAATCGAAAGCCTCCAACGTCAAGGTTCGATCTTCATTCTGGGGTTTGTCCATCCAAAGTCAACGTTTGATTTCCAGAATGCACGTTCTCGGTCGTCTGGGTGCGCGGAGTCGCCCCCACAGGATCGAAACCCGTTGTTCTCCATGTCCACTTTCCATTCTGGAGGGAAAAGACCTCCAGAATGGAGGGCCATAACTTCTAGAATGGAGGTCGAGCCTCGAATTCCTGATGTCTTTGATCCTCTTGGGAATCCCCCCGCGCGGGCAGGACAGGCGCCGCCTCGCCCTGCTGGAAGTGGGGCACGCCGCCACCGAGCTGGCGCTCACGCGGCTCTGCGCCGACGTGTCAAAGCTCTCCTATCAGCTCCGGCTCAATGGGGACAGGGTGAAGAGGGAACACCTGGAGCAGTTCGACACCGACCTCATCGAGGCGGTGCAGCTAGTTGCTGGCGGCGACCTCCCTGACGCGGCATGGGAGCAGTGCTCGCTAGGCACGAGCAAAAGGGGTCTCGGCATGCGTGTCGCAACGCAGGTGTCGCTCGCCGCATTCGTGGCCAGCCGCGCATGCTCGAGGCCGCACGTGCGCGAGATGGCAACTCACCTCGCAGACAGAGGGCTTGGTGACACGGGGGTCATAGTTGCTGCGTGCGACCAGCGCACTGACGACGCCGCGGCACGCTTCGCTCTCAGCCTGCCGCCAACGGAGGGCGGCCTCGCCGTGGCCACGCTGTCAGAGGCGCTCGCGGAGTCCGAGGGGCGGTGGGCTGCGCTCGTCGACGCGCGCGCAGAGGCGCCCGCGGCAACTCCGCGGGAACGCCGCGCCCGCCCCCGGGGCATCGGCCGCAACATGCACCGGGACGCGGGAGACGACGCGGCACTGCGACGGCTCGACGACCTCGAGCACCCCGACTGCGACCACTCCTGGCTCTAGAATTTGTCCAAGCACAAGGGCCCAGTGATGGGCGCCCCCGACTTCGTCGAGGCCCTCCGCCTTCGCGTCGGCGCTGGAGGTCCTCTCGAACCAGTTTCCTGCGGCCTCTGCGGCGCTGCCCTATTGGACCGGGCTGGGTCTCACGCCCTACGCTGCAGTCGCGCGGAATCCACTCGGGGGCACCACGCTGTGGCGCGGCGAGTCCACGACGCCGCCAAAGTTTGCGACCCTGGCGCCGAGCTGGAGGCTCCAGGCCTGGTGCCGGGCACGCGGCTCCGACCAGCAGACGTCCTCACTGGCGCTTGGGCAACGGTCTCCTGGCCCTCGACGTCGGCGTGGCCTCGCCCGACGCCGCGGCCGCTGGCCCAAATTGTGCGGCCGCCATGTACCGACGCAAAGTCGAGTACTATTCCCCGCGCGAGGACGCCCTGGCCCGGCAGAACATCACTTACCAGCCGCTGGTGTTCACGTGCCACGGCCGGCCCCACCCCCGAACGACAGCCATCCTCCGCACTGTCGCGATCAAACAATCGCGGAGGCGTGGCTGTTCCGACGGGGAGTGGCGGCACCAGCGCCTTGCTGCCGCAATCGGCACAGAGCTCTGGCGCCGGGCCGCCAGGCAGGTCCAGGCTTGCTGGCCGGACCACGAGCAAGACGCTACCTAGACGTATTGTCGGCCAGCCAGCCGCGCAGCCGCCCGCCTCCGTCTCCCGCCCCCGCCCCTGCCCCTCCCGCCCTCCTCCGCCCCTTCGCCGCCTCCGCCCTGTCTCCCTTGTCCGCGGTGGCTGACGTTCGCCTTCGCCTGTCCCGCCCCTTCCCCGTCCGTCCCCCGTTGCCCGTTTCGCCCCCGCTCTCCTCCGCCCTTCCCGACGACCCGCGACGACCCCCTGACCCACGCCAGCCCACGACGACCCCCCGACTGCCACCGACGACCCTCGCCCTTCCCACCCCCCGCCCGCCCCCTCGCGCCTGCCGGCCTGCTGCTGCCTTCTTGCTTGCCTGCTTGCTTGCCGCCCCCCGTCCCTTTGTGGGCCCGGGTGTCGAAGGAATTGATGTTACAAGTAAACGATGTGACTCGTATGTTTTGCACCACCGCGGCGCACTGAGCACAAATGCTACACGCACGGATAGCTCGGAGTGGCGAAGAGAAAACCACGGCCTCAAGATCCCTAGATCGTCACTCCCAAAACTGAAATGTTCGTTGAAATCTCCTGAGCTATCGGCCAAAACATCGAGCACGCTTACTGCACACGAGGGACAGAGGAAGGAGGAAGAGGAGGAACAGGAAAGGGGACAACTGCAAGGCGGGGCTGCCCGCCTGGTCGTCATTCGCGAGGAACTGCATGCTCGGCGTGGTCTCACGGCTTGGACTTCCCGGCCTTGTCCTCTCCCATGCTCGCGTCCGGCTTGGAAGACGGCAGCGGCGAGGTTTCAAAACCATCCTCGATGGAGTTCGTGAACTCACGGATCAAAATCGACCGGAAGCGGTTGTACAGCTCCGGGTGGCCTTCCAGTTTGATGCGAGACTCCTGCAGGATCTCTCCGATGAGGACCTCCTGTTCTGAAGACAAAGCCAAGCGACGGGACGTCCAAGCTGACGACGACACATGCTGGAACCCGTGACTGTCACGGTCCTGGCCGTCCTTCTCCTGCTTCTAAACCTGCTCCAATGCCTCCTCGGCTGCGGCAGGCTCCTCGTAGTCATGAGCGGCCCATTTCTTCAGCGCGTCGACGGCGATAGAAGCAGCGGTAGGAGCCCCAGCGAACTCACTGTCGTCACCAGAGGCGATGAAGTTGGTGAAACGATTCTCCTGATCGACCAGCGTGATCTCGGCCGCGTCTATGATAGCTGCTGGCCCCGTGATCTGTACACGCTTGGTCGTCAACGTGTAGGTAAGGCCGATCTTCTGATCGTCGTACTTGGAGCCCAGCAGGACACTCGCGTTGACCTTGGCATTGCTGGAAGACTTATTGTGGACCACCGCCCCAGCGGTGGACGCGTGACCCAAGGTGATCAAGAACGTGCGACACGAGTCGTGGTCGCCAGTAACCACAAAGTGCACCATCCCTGAGCGCCGTGCTGATGGCCGTACACGAAGTGCCGACCATGTCCACGGCAACTCTGCGATCTCCAACTGTGGATGGCAATGAAGCGCCCGTGAGGTGGTCGTACACGCTCTTGCAGTCGGTCACCGCCAAGCATGGATGTCGACCTAGCCAACGCTCACGCGTCTTGATGTCGAAGTCCGCGTAGAGAGCCTCGGACAAGTGGCACAGCAACCATTCTAGGTGACCAATGCCATCAGACAGAGCCTGTGTCTCACCTGCCAAGGTAGAACCCACCACACGTTTGAGTCGGTACGAGCGCCAGGCTGCCGGACTCCAGGGTGACTTCTTGCCCTCCGCCATCTCACGAGTCGTGAAACCCAGGATGTAGCCGGCCTGAGTTCCGTTCTTGGCAGCGTTCAGGAAGGATGCGTCACTGTGCATGATTATACGCAGCTCCTGAGGCGGAATGCTCTTTACGGTTAGTATCATACCCTTAAGTTGAAGTAGCCGTCGGGCGAGTGCATTGGTCCGTCTGATCTGACCCACAGTTGGTCGAGGTAGCACTTGTTGTCCCTGAGAAAGCTGCACGCTGGTGTCTGGTCGTGTCTGACTGCAGATCCAACCTCTTTGACCAAGTAAACGTCGAAGTCCGGCAACTTCCGCATCAGTAGCTGGTTCATTATCTGCGACCCGTCGTCGAACTGTTATTGGCTTGAGTTCCTGGTAAGGCGTGGTCTGGCGGATAGAGATGTCGAACGTCTTCGGATCCTGGTAGAGAGCACTGCCACAGTACTCTCCCTCACCGACGGTCCACTTTCGGAAAGGGAACTCCTCCTTCAATCTCTGCACCGCCTCATTGAAATAAGCTCCTTCACCAGCGATCAGCACATCATCAACATGAACCACAAGAATACCACAGAGCTTACATTGAGCGTCTCGAAGAAAGAAGAGGCAGGGGTCCAAGCGCCACTTCGTCCACGGCTTGCCCTCGTGAGCCGTCTGATCTGTAAGCCAACCTGAAATCTTCGAGAACCAGCGGCAAGGAGCGTGATCCAGGCCATACAGGGGTAACACAAGTTCCACCACTTGATCAGGATGAAGCCCAGGAAGACCGCCAGGTGGTTGCTTCGCGTAGAGGGGTCCATCTGGTCGTTGTAGTGGGTCGCTCTCCATAAAGGCGCCCCGGATGTCTCCGATTTGAAGTTGCTCGGGAGCCCTGAGACGGGGGTCAATGCAGACGGGGGTCAGCCAGGGCGCCAGATCCTGCAGGATCCTGCGAAGACCCCCTCTGACTGACCCGGGTTAGGGAGCCGCTCGTGGCCGCGAGGCGGCCGCACATATTGGCTGACCCGGGTTTGCGAAGACCTGCGTTGCAGTTTTTTTCCCTGCATTGCAGTTTTTGGTTTCCTGCTGACCCGGGTCTGGATTGACCCGGGTCAGAAGGTCCCCGAGTTGCCATTGATGTGATGCAGCCAACTGGAGTGTTAGCATCCTCGCGTTCTGCGATACCGTGGGTGCAGCTGTCTGGTTCCAGTAGACGAGCTTGAGAGCGTCCGGGTCCTTGAAGCCTCTGGCAACCCAACGAGCCTTTACCAGCTCCTTGCCGTCGGGGTCGTACTTGATGGTCATGACGAAGCGCGTGTCAACAAGTCGATCGGGTCGGGTACGCTTGATCTCCCCTGACTCTTTCAAGCTACACACACGTACAGCATGCTTCTCCTGGTCCACGGTCTGCCACTCCTTCATCTTGGCGTTCAGGATCTCCTCGATGAGGTCGGGTCGAAGCTTCTCGGTGATGTCCTTGCGACCCTTCTCCAGCAATGCCTCGTAGCAGGGCTCGCCGGTACGCACCATGGAGGTCAGGCAGACATCAGCAGTGATGATCGCGTCCTGACCCTCCGTCTCAGCCTCCGCCACTAACTCGTCGTGCTCCGGGTCGGAGTCCAAGAGCGCTTGCCGAGCGTCAGCTGGCCGAGTCGGAGGTTCCTCGACGGCAGGTTGCACAGTTGTTGCGGCAGCCTGACCAGATGCAGACGATGATGCGAGACCCTCAGTCGTGACCGCCGTCGTCTCCCTCAGGCGTTTCAAGGGCTTGCCCTCAATGTCGAACACACGTCGTGCGACCAGACTTGGATCTTGCAGCTCGTCGGTCTTTCTCTTGGCGGCCTGGTCCACCTCGAGGCTTGTGTCTCCAAGAGCTGGAACTAATACATCGTCAGTCGATCCAGCGTCAGGTAGGGGTCGGTCCTCAGGTAGAGCGGGCCCGGGAGGTGGAGCAGGCTCAGGACCAACAGGCAGAGGTGCCGGCACCACAATGACACGACCTTCGCCAGGTGGAGCCGGAGCCTGTCCTTGATTCTCAGCAGGTAGGTCCACGTAGACCGAGTTGCCTTGCTTTCCTTTAAACTTTTCTTGAGCGGCCTTGAACTCTTGACGCACATGCCAGTCTGCCCATTCCTCTTCTCGAGTAGCATGTCGAAGGTGTTCGGGAGCCGCTCGAATCAGGGTCCCTGCGTGTGATAACCAATAGTGACCATTTTCCTCGCCAAGGACCGTAGCCCTTCCATGCCAACGCGCATTTTTCTTGCCATCCTTCTGCCGACCTTTGCCTCGACCTCGCCGCCAGCAGGCTACCCGATCACCTGCTCGAAATTCTCGAAGTGGCCGGGGTCGGGCGTCCAAGGCCGCCCTCATGGCCTCATCGTCGCTGTGCATCAGAATAGCCCTGCGAGCGGCAGCCCGAACAGCAGTAGCGCGCTGGTAGACGTCGTTGTGCAGTGCCAAGCTGTTCGCAACAATGTCCGATGAGTACTTGAGAAGGTCGGCCGGGAGAGGAGGGTCACGCCCGAACACATGTTGGTATGGGCTGTGCCCATGCTTCCTCAAAAGGCGGTTCTTCTGATCACAGACCGTACTGACGCATTGCTCCCACTCCTGATGGTTCTTCGGCTGGACAGTCTCGATCACCTTGCTCAGAATGTTGGCAAACCAGGAGCCATGTCTTTCAGCCTTTCCGAGTAACCAGTGAGCTTCTCCTGGAATGACGTCGAAGTCCACGCCGTCGCACTCCAGCACCTCGGACATGATGGCACCGGTGTTGGCCCGGGCCGAGTCACACTTGGCCCTGACCGGTGCTCCGTAGGGCCTTCGCCAGCCCACGTCCCAGGCCTTCCTGAGAGTCTCACCGTTCTCCTCGTTGCCCGCCAGCGGCATCATCTGTTGGAGAGAGCTGGCGCCGTCCACGACGTTCAGAGCGGCCCAGGTCTTCCCACATATGTAGTACAGCAGCTCCTTGACGTCGAAACCCACCTCAGACAACACCTGAATGTCTCTGGGAACTGTCGCTGGCCGTGTTAACTTGGGAGCTCGGTTCTGTTCGCAGACATCACGCTTGAAATCCCGTGCGGTGGCGATGGCCTCCTCGGTCGCGTTGCCATGCTTCAGGATGCGGATCAGGCCCTCAACCGCAGGATGGCCAAGATTGACATGGATTTTGCGAACCGCCGTCTCCAGCTTCCGTCGTCGATCTCGAGCTTCAGCTTGGGACTCCGGCGGCTCCTCCACGTCCTGGTCAGCCTTCTTGTGCCTCTTGGACGCGGCAAACACCTCCGTCATGAGAGACTCGTGAGTATGGACCTCGACCAAGCCCTGCCAGAGCACGGCCCTCGCCTGCAGCGACTCCTCGACCTCCACCTCGGAACCCAGAACTGACATCTCCTTGTACATCCCGCTCACGATGGCACGAACCAGTGCGGGAGGGTAGCGCTGATAAGCTGCGCTCCGTCGTTCACCTCCAGCCCCTCCTTGAATCGTCTCGTGGTGGTGGTCGCCTGGGCATCGCCGAGACAAGGCCTGAGCCAACGCCGGACTCGAAGTAATGAGCCTGAAGGCCTTGCGGTAGGGCTTGCCACTGATCGCGTCGTGATAACCATATTGACAACCATGGCCAACTGCCTCATACACACGGTCCTGACACATGAGCCTGATCATCGCGGGCTCGTTCTACGACTGCGCCGACTGCGGCTGCTCGATATAGAAGTGACGGTCGTGAGCCAGTTGGTATTCAGCAACCTGAACGCACAGTCGAAGTAGAAACCGAGCGCTCGCTAACCGTCGCTGATACTCGGGAGTATCCCTCTGCTTATTCATGTATTGCAGGATGCTAAACAACGTACAGGGTGGCGACATGCCAACCCACTCAGGTCGATCTTCAGCTAGTGATCGCCACATTTCTCGACGGTGATCTGCACGCAGAAGGTCCCAGCCGGTGGTCAAATCCAGGGCCTTCGTTGGGCCCAAACCCTTGAGCTCAGCCTTCGGGCCCACTCGCTCGGGGCTCAACAGCTCGAAGAGGCCCGCGCGTCGTAGCTGCGCGGTGACTGCAGCGATGTCCTTCACCAATCGTCGTCGCTGTCGGCGGGTGAGCTGACCAGTGGCATTGCCCGATGGAAGATATGCCTCCTCGAGCTCGCTGACCAGGTCCTCGGAGGTCCCAGCGTCACCCTCAGCATCTGCAGTAGACTCCTTGACACGGTGCTCGGCGCGCCCCTGTAGGTCAGCTGGTAGAAGTTCGAGTTCCGCTGGTGCTATCGTCGCCAGACACCGATCATGATTGTCGCCGAGAATGATGCGAGCAGCATCCTCAGCTTCCCGTGGAAGAGGAGGCGGTTGACCTCCAGCCCTGTCGCACATGGTCATGTCCTCGATGTCGCCCGCCGACCCTTTGGGAGCAGGGATCACGTTTGGCTGCTTCTCCGTCGCGGCGACCGTCATGTAGATGGTGATCTCTGGGTCGCTGATCATCGGGTCCACGTTGTCACTGAAGCCCTTGGGGTCGAACCCGTGAGGGAAAGAACGTAGTGGCCACCAGCTCCTGTTAGAAGTGAACATTCCGGCAGATCGGCAATGGTAACCGTGTCCCTGGAGGTGTTGATCTGGGACTTCATGGCCTTGATCTGCTGTTTGGACATGAGAAAGGGCGCCGAACCCGGCACCAAGGACCACTTCGTGACCGCGTTCCTACCCAGGATCCCGTTTGGCAACAGCACCTCGCCCACTGACGACTGGCTGCCATCGTTGCCGAAGCGAAAGGATACCTGCGGGGCATCGGGTAGATGTACAGGCTGTAGTCCATGATCTCGTCGTAGTCGTCGGCAGTGCTGCTCGAAGGTCTCCGTGCCCACCATGCCCTTGGCGCATCCCAAGTCGAGGATCGCGTGACCTGGCGTCGACGAGAGGAATGCGTCCTTCTCGATCTCAGGACTCCGATCCGGCCCTAGTGAAAATGGTTCTTCTGGATCGTCGCACTGAGGATCTCGTCGAAGGTCATGTTCCCGATGGACTTGGCGGACGTCGGCACGTTATAGAAACATTCTGCGAAGAATTGACTCTTCACCGGTTCAGTTGAACTCTTACTTGCCGTGGATTTACAAGGCTCCTTGCAGTCCTTCTGGAAGTGACCGATCTTCTTGCAGTTGTGGCACCTCACTCTCGGACGATGCGCCTCTAGGTTCGGCTTCGCAAAACCCCTACCCAGATGACCTTCCCGTGTAACTTCCGCTGCTCTTTCCAAGAGATCAAGGCGTCGATGAGGTCTCGCTCATCAACAGGTGGGTCGGCATTGTCTTGTACTCCGTGGTCGGCCAGCAGCGCTTCGCATTCCGGATCGCCGTCGTCATCCTCGATGGTCTCATCGCCGTCGATCTCTTGCTCGGCCACGAAGGCCTTGTGGTGACCCTGACTGCCCGTGGCCATCTTCCCAAGGCCCGCCCGATACGTAGTCCTCAGAGCCCTCGCGACGTCGGGCTCCCGCCAGGAGCCATGGGCCGCGGCCATGACGACCGCCTCCTTCTCCGAGTCCAGGTGGCAGCCTTCGAGAAGCATGATGCCGCGCGCGATCTCCGGCAAGACGATGCCCTCGCGCTCGGCGTCGGCGAAGATGGCCCGGGCCCGGGCCGTGTAGGCGTTGGCCTCCTCGTGCTTGTGGGTCTTGAGCCTCAGACAGGCACGCATCACCTCGCCGAGCCTGTCCGAAGTCGGGAGGTCGGGGTACCTGTCGTCCAGGATGGCAAAGATCACGTCGTCTCCGCCAGCTTGCTCAATGAGGTCGTCCTCGACGTCCTCGATGGCCCTAAAGGCCGCACCCGTCAGGAGGGTGATCAGGGCCGAGCCTCGAGCATCCTCGTTGATATTCTTGGACTTGATCCATGCTCGCGCCCATTTCTTCCATGCCTTGTACTCTGTGAGCTTCTCGCCCGAGAACCTCCTGACGGCGCCGTTCTGATTATCGGAGTCGGCCATGCCGACGAAGAGGGAGGAGGAAGCAGAATGTCCGCGTTCTGCTGGTAAATGAGGGTCAGCGGCGTCACCACGCCGATGAAACTGAAGCCGATGTGCACGCCTCGCGCACAGAGAGAGAGAGAGAGAGAGAGAGAGAGAGAAAGAGAGAGAGAGAAACACGCTCCGCACTACCAGTGTCGAAGTAACCGATGTTACAAGTAAACGATGTGACTCGTATGTTTTGCACCACCGCGGCACACTGAGCACAAATGCTACACGTACGGATAGCTAGGAGTGACGAAGAGAAAACCACGGCCTCAATATCCCTAGATCGTCACCGGGGGCCGCGCGCTGCGGCCCAGCGCGCTCGGAGTCGGCGCTGGCGTCTGTTTCCCTCGCTCCTCCTCCTCCCTCCTCCTCCCTCCTCCTCCTCCTCCTCCTCCTCCTCCTCCTCCTCCTCCTCCTCCTCCTCCTGCTCCTCCTCCTCCCTCCTGCTCCTCCTCCTCCTCCTCCTCCTCCTCCTCCTCCTCCTCCTCCTCCTCCTCCTCCTCCTCCTCCACGTCCGCCCCCTGTCTTCGTTTTAAGGCGCGGGCGCGCGCGCGCGCCTAACGGCGGGGCCGGGTGGCTCACACCCCGCGGCCGCGCCCTCTCCCAGTGAGCTTTCGCCGCGCGTTGTGGGCTGCGGTCATGTCCCTCCTCGTCCTCCCTCCTCCCCTTTTTCCTCCGCTTTGCTCCTCATTCCTGGTGCACACATTCTTGGCGGCGCGCTTCGACAGGAACCGCGGGCATCAGACTCGCTTGGCGCTGCCATGTGTAGAGGCCAAAATGACCGCCGATAGGGTCTGAGGAGGCCCGGGACACTGATTTCCCAGTGGCCCTTGAACTGGGTCCGTCTGTGGCCGAGCCAGCCTTGTGTAGAAGCATGCAGAGGATCGGGCCGTCGTCTGAGTCCACAAGGGGTGGATCAGGAACGACAATCTAGCACCTGCTACTCCCAGTCTGGCAACGGGATGGGCTTTGGAAATGCATCGTGGCATTCGAACGAAAAAAAAGCCGCCTCCTCCCGACCGAGCCAGGCAGGATTCCCTTCGCCGCCTCCCTCCCACCTCCCCCCTCCCCCCTCCTCGCGGACCTGCCTCTTCGGACGCAGGCCACCGTCCTCGTCTTCCCCTGGCACTGTCAGCGTGCTTGGGTCATACAGCAGGCGGTCGCGTTCAAAATCGTCGCCCCTCCCTCCCTCCGCACTCCTCCCTCCTCCCTCCCTCCGCACTCCTCCCTCCTCTCTCCCACCCCTTCCCCTTCCTCCCCTCCCCCCTCCCTCTCCTCTCCTCTCTTCCTCCCTCCCCATTTTCTCTCCTCCGTCTTCCTCTTTTTCCCTCCCTCCCTCCCCCCCTCTCCCCCTCCTGGAGCCTCCGCCCCTCCCCCCTCCCGCCTCCCGCCTCTCCCCTCCCAGTGTGGCCAGGAGGCCGCCCGCGCGGGCATGGCCTGCCTCTCGCCTCCCTCTCCCGCCCCCCCCCCCCCCCTTCGGCGGGGGGCAGCAGAGTTTCCCGGAGACTTAAATTTCCCGCCCAGGGCCCTTCCTCATGCCCTTTCCCTCCTCCTCCTCCTCCTCCTCCTCCTCCTCCTCCTCCTCCTCCTCCTCCTCCTCCTCCTCCTCCGCCTCCTGGTGCGTACTGTAGGACTCATTCGTGCTCGTATCCGAACCCAGGTTCGTCGATCGAAGGTTGCTGAATCACTGGCAAGAGCCGGTGCGGGAGCGGCGGGTTCGGGGCGGTCGTGAAGTATACGACCAAGTCCCAGGCGGGCCCTGCGCGCGTGCTTCGCGCGTGTGCTTGCTCTGTGGCGGTGACGATCTGGGACCTCCCTCTCCCCCCCCCTGAACGCGGGTCGCTCCTCCTCCGCCTCCGCTTCCTCCTCCTCCTCCTCCTCTCCTCCTCCTCCTCCTCCTCCTCCTCCTCCTCCTCCTCCTCCTCCTCCCCCTCCTCCTCTCCTCCTCCTCCTCCTCCTGTGCTCCTCTCCTCCTCCTCTCCTCCCTGATCAGACAGGTGCCGCGACCAAAAACACGACGGGCGGTTTCTGGCCATCATCGGCCTCTGGGAGCCCTCGCCGGGCCTCGAGGCCGTCTGCGAGCGATTCGGAAAAAATTATAGCCGGAGTGCAGTATCCCCAAACAGGGTTTTTAGACCCACTGCGGTTTCCAAGGTCGATTGCGTGCCCGTCCAGTGCGGGCTGGCATGGCATGTTAAAACATGCCTCCTCTTCCTCCTCCTCCTCCTCCTCCTCCTCCTCCTCCTCCTCCTCCTCCTCCTCCTCCTCCACCTCCTCTTCATTCCGAACGGCATCTCGGAGCCCAGAGTTGCGAGGATGTCTCCACCGTAACTGGCTGGACCACCTCGCGCGCGGCATTTCGGACCCCAGAGTTGCGACGATGTCTCGGGCGAAACGTG